ATGCAATTTCCATATTTACTGCTAGACAGGTTTTTTTTTTAATTGATTAAATAGGAAATACTTTAGCAACTTTTCACATTGTACTACGTATCACTGCATGTTTACAAAAGAAAAATTAATAAAACTAAATAAAAAAACACCAGAAGATTCAAGATTAAAATCATTTATTCATCCTCAAAAAAGGAATTTCATAAAATGTTGACAAATAAAAAATACATAGACATTTCCATACAAGATAAAAAGAGATGGAAAACAATAAAATCAAGCAAAGAAAGGAAGAAAACATTTGTACATTATAGTCATTTAATTCAATTATTTTTTCATCTACGGCTATTCATAAATACCAATAGAGTGTATAAACATGTCTCATACAAAAGCATTAAGACTGTACACAAATAACTAATTAAAACACATATGCCTAAATTGACACAATGATGAGAGAACTTGTGCTCTATGGGTCATTCCATTATACTGGGCACAGGCATTAGAACGTAATATGCTAGGAAACCCATGTTTACACCTGTTCCAAAACACATGTTTGCATACATTTTTATATCATTTGAAACATCTTACTTGAATCTATTATACAGTGTATGATGATGGTGATCAGGCATACAGATTTCAAGAAAAATACAAAAACAGAATGGCGTCCCTGTGCATTTTTGCATACATATTTGTGACATAGATAGATAGATAGATGATAGATAGATAGATAGATAGATAGATAGATAGATAGATAGATAGATAGATAGATAGATAGATAGATAGATAGATAGATAGATAGATAGATAGATAGATAGATAGATAGATAGATAGATAGATAGAATAGATAGATAGATAGATAGATAGATAGATAGATAGATAGATAGATAAACTTTATTTGTCCTCGTACAAAAATATACAACAGGAAATTCATCTTCCATTGGAAAATATACATAGTTTATGCACTTATTAAAACATTGATACAAACCAAAGTTGTCAGTTATTTCATTGAAACCAGTGTCAGCATAATCGTGGGTAAGCATGTGTTTAACAAGCAAGAAATTAGTCCAATGAAACTGTTTATTATCTTGATACCTTCCGAAATTGACCCTACCGGCGTTACCACGGTGTCCCCACTGATCGATCTAAGTACGTGACGTTGTTATGTGGGTGTTTTATAAATTGAGAATGCCGGGTAATATTACAAAAAAAAAATAGATAAAATGTAAAAAATAGTTAGCCATGTAGTAGGTCTTCCTTGCAAATCAACCCAGAAACCCGGTAGGTTGATTGTTTATTGGTAGCGTCCCTTCGCTGCCAAAATAGCTTTTCGCAAACAACAGAAGGGCGCCCTATACAATCAATCAATCACTTTATTGAACAACGCTTTTTGATCAGCGGCAACACGTCATATGACGGTGCGTTCTGTTAACTATATATAGACAACATACATAGTAATAACACTTAACTAAACAAAATGATAACAAAATATAATACAGTTTGAATACTTGAAAGTAGGAAAACTCAGTACTAAATTAAATAAGCAATTAGATTGATAC